CCTATGGCAGTGTGGTACCTCAGCTTGAGCACAGTGCGAGTATTTTGAAAGGTGTTCCACGAGAATATCAATCTTTCATGGCGATTATAACTTCCATGAGGGAAACTTTATCCTTAGATAGCGTTTATACTATGCTTCTTGATGCAAAAACATAATCTGCTAGTTTTGATGATCCATTGGAGACCTTGCCAATGAGTGTAAATGTTGCTCATGGAGAGATCAGGAGCTCATCGATGTCGAATAAAGGTCCTAATCAGAGATATTCTTATTCTTCTGGATCTCAAGCTGGTGGTCGGGGTCGTGGCAGATCTTGGGTGCAATGTCAACTTTTTGGAAATGTTGGACATTTGATTGATCGGTGTTGGCATAGATATGACCAAGACTTCTCGTGTGTTACTTCTGTCAATCGTGGGCAATACCAATCAGATTATAAGGCTACCTCCTCTACAAGTCCTCCTCTACAAGTAACTTTACGATTTCATCCACTGATGATGGTTGTGAGTGTTGTGCTAAACGAAAGACTGGCTTAGTTGTGGATGGTCAACCGCATGCTCATGCTACTTCTATGTCATCTGAACGTTGGGTGGTTGACACAGGAGCCACACATCATGTTACTTCAGATGTTAATAAGGTTTTGAATTCATATGAGTTTCATGGTCCAGGTAAACACTTAGTTGGAAATGGTATGCCTCTTGATGTTGCTTTAGTTGGTCATTCTCATGTCAATACCTCTTCGTGTGTACTTTTACTGAATGATTTGTTGCATGTGCCACAAATAACCAAGAACTTGTTTTCGGTTTCTAAGCTTGCTAGGGATAATGATGTTTTCCTTGAGTTGCATGCCAATCGATGTTGTGTTCGTGATGAGGCTACTGGAAATGTGTTGCTTCAAGGTGAAGGTTTATACTCGTTTGCTATGAATAATAGCTCATTAGAAGTCAATGTAGTAAAAGCCAATGCAAGTTTAGTATCCACTTCATTGGATGAACTCTAGCACCGACGTCTTGGTCACCCAGCTGTTGATACCTTACCAAAATTTGCTAGTGAACTAGGCATTAAAGTTCACTCCAGTGTAAATAAAGAATGTATTGCATGTCATTTGGGCAAAAGTCACAAAATACCCTTTATTGAATCAAATACAACAGTTGTTTCTTCTTTTGATCTTGTTTACTCCGATTTGTGGGACCACCACATGTGGCTTCCAATGGATTTCGTTTTTATATTTCTTTTGTGGATGTATTTACTCTCCACACTTGGATCTATCTTTTGAAAAACTAGGATGAAGCTATGTTAGCATTTAAGCCTTTTCAAAAACTTGTAGCTAATCAGTTTGGGCTCACTATCAAGGCATTACAAACAGACTGGGGTGGTGAGTTTTGAAGCTTATCATTAGTATTGGCCCGAGAAGGGATTATGCATAGAGTGACATGTCCTCATACTTCCAAGCATAATGGTGTTATAGAGCGAAAACATTTTCATATTGTTGAACTAGAACGGGTTCTGTTATCCCAGGCGTCTCTACCAATTAAATATTGGTCCTATGCAGTTATCTCTGCAGTTTACTTAATCAATCGTCTGCCTACTAAAGTTTTACAAGGCTTGTCACCATTTGAGAAACTCTTTGGAAAGAAACTAGAGTATTCAATGATGAAGGTTTTCGGGTGTCAGTTTTTTCCTCACTTAAGGATGTTTCAAAATCATAAGTTGTCCTTTAGGTCTCAAGCATGCACTTACCTGGGTGTTAGTCCTCAGCACAAAGGGTTTCAATGTTTGGCGCCTGATGGAAGAGTATATGTTTCTCAACATGTTGTATTTAATGAATATATTTTTCCGTTTGCAGGAAAAGAGGCTTGTGATTCATTGAATTCTACTGTGAATACAGGTTCAACTCTTCAGTCTTTGTGAGTTGTTACTGATGTCAGAAATTCTTGTTTTCAGTCTATAAATAGTTCTCCAAATACAACTGTTTCAACTACTATGCATGAGGTGGTTGATGGTTATGCATCACCTACTGTGAATGAGGTGGTTAATGGTGGCTCTCAGCACACCTCTGATGCTACTGCTTCAGAAACTGTTGCACTTGTGGAAACTGCAGTTGCAGGTGCAGAGGCTAGTAATGTTCGTGATGATTCTGATAGTGTAGGTGGTGATATTACTGCAACTTCTGAGCCTGATGTTAATGTTCCTCCCTCTCATGTTCACCCTATGATGACACGTAGTCGATGTAGGATTTTCAAACCTAAAGTGTTGTCGAGCGTTGTAGATGATGATGTTTCTACTACAATAGGTGCAGCTCTCTAGTCTTCTCACTGGGTTACAGTTGTTCATGATGAATACAATACTTTAATAAACAATGGAACTTGGACAATGGTTCGACTCCCTGAAGGCATGACTGTTGTTGGATGCAAATGGTTCTTTCGTGTTAAGCATAATCCTGATGGATCGGTTCATCGATACAAAGCTCGCTTGGTTGCCAAAGGGTTCTCTCAAATCCCAGGTTATGATTTCAAGGATACATTTAGTCCTGTTTTTCTTTTTTCCACGTTTAACACAGTGCTAGCCATTGTTGTCTCTAATGGTTGGCAGCTTCGACATGTTGATATAAACAATGTGTTTCTCAATGGAGATTTTAATTAGGATGTCTACATGCAACAACCCCTGTGTTTGAGCAGGTTGATGAACATGGCAAGCCTCTTGTGTGTAAACTTCAAAAAGCTCTTTATGGTCTTCAGCAATCACCTCGCAATTGGCATGTTAAGCTTAAGGATAACCTATTGTAAATAGGGTTTATAGTATCTCGAGCAGATCCTTCATTATTCCTCAAGAGTGTTAATAATGGCTATATCTACATTCTTGTGTATGTGGATGATATAGTCATTATTGGGCAGTCTTCCACTGTTATACAGGAGATTGTATTAATGTTGCATGATCGTTTTTCACTTAAGAATATTGGGGAGTTGAGCTTTTTCCTTGGAATTGAGGTAAAAAATGTTAATGGTTCAATAGTTTTGAGTCAGAAAAAATATATACTTGAGCTCTTAGAGAAGACTGGGATGTCAACTGTAGCAAGTTGTACCACGCCAATGGTAGTATCATCCAAACTCTCTCATGAAGAGGGTGAGCTCCTTCTTAATGCTAGTGAATACAGAAGTATAGTTGGCTCACTTTTGTATGTTTGTCATACACGGCCTGGCATTTCGTTTAGTGTGGGACAAGTTGCTCAATATATGCATGGACCAAGGGAAGCTCATTTTGTTGCAGTAAAAAGAATACTTCGCTATTTATCCTCCACTCTTAACTTTGGACTTTTATTCTCACATGTTGTCAATGAATTGAACATTGTTGCATTTGATGATTTGGATTGAGGCGCCAGCATTGATGATAGGCGTTCCATCACCGGATATGGTGTATTTCTTGGCAAATGTCTCATTACATGGTGCTCGAAAAAACAATGAACTGTCTCTCAATCCACGATGGAGGTTGAATACAAGAGTGTAGCAGATGCAACTGCTGATATCACTTGGGTAAATGCTCTTTTGATTGATCTTCGCATTCAGTAGTGTCGTGAACCGATTGTCTGGTGTGACAACACCAGTGGTGAGGCCATGAGTGTCAATCCTGTCTATCATGCTGAATCCAAGCATGTTGATCTTGATGTTCATTTTGTTCGTGAGAATGTAGCTGCTGGTCAACTATGCGTTAGCTATGTTCCTGTTATGCATCAAATAGATGATGGATTTACTAAGCCTTTTTCCCGAGCTGTTTTTGAGGAGTTTCGCTTCAAAGTGTGTGTTCATTCTTTTAATCAAGGAGACAAAAAGAAGTAGAGAGAATATTAACAGTGTTAGTAACACAGGTGTAAATGTGTCATGCTAGATGTGCCATGTTGGCTGGTTGTTAGGAAGTTGTTACTTGGTTGTTAGGGTTGTTATGATAAATGCTTCATGTATTGTGTATAAAAACGAACTTATGCTTAATAATAAAAAAAATCTCATTTTCCAGTATTCAACTTGTGTTACTAATAATATTCTAATACTATTTCCCCTACCTACAGTAGTCATGCAATTTCATCAATTTTCTATAATAGTCATGCAATTTCATCAATTTTCTATAATAGTCATGCAATTTCATCAATTTTACATTATAATCATGCAATTTGATCTTTTTTTAAGGCAGAAAAAAGAACAATTTTACTATTTTTGGACCAAGACTCTAGAGGGCACCGTCTGACGCCGTCTTTGTTTGAAATATTCATGTGTGGTTACAAATAATAGTAAGGCTTAATGCATCTTTTATCCCTAATGTTTGCTTGTTTTCCCATTTTAGTATATAAATTTTTTTTAGTTAATAGTACCTTTAAAGTATGCGAACTTATGTTATTATGAATTTAGCTTAACTATTATTTCATTTTCAAATTTATTACGAATTTTCAATTCATATTTTTTTATATAACTATTAGTTTTCAAACCTATATAGGTTTATTATGGAGACACATTCCTAATCCAATTTTCCTTATTTGTCAATTCCTAATATTATTTAAAGAATTTAATCCCTTATTCAATTAGACCAACTTATTTTAATGATTAAATCTTGTATTTATTTCCGTTTGGGTTGTATTTGTGGATTAAGTCTATATTTTCATTATGTCATTGGGTCAGTGCTTGAAATACCGTCGAATCAATATTTGAAAGAAATAATAGTATCAATAGACACCATTAAAATATAATTTTATTATATCTCAATTAACATGTCAACGTCCAACTTAGATGTTGGTCAATTATTAATAAAAAAACAAATTTAAAACATATAAATAATCAAATAATTATTTTATAACTTTTAATAATAAAAAAATTTAACAAATAACAACCTATAATCGAGAATCAATTGTGTAATAAGTTAACTTTAACCTAGTATATAATAGTTTCCATTGTCGTATCAATTCAATTCACAATTAGTGGTATTCTCGAAAACGTCTATTGTTTGATTTTATGATCTTCAAAATGGAGCTCTTGAACATCGCCAGCAATCCATGGCTTCCATCTCTGATCCTCCTTTTCTCCCTTTTAATCTGGCTTAAACTATCAAAAAGGAAACGCTTGAATCTGCCTCCATCACCCCCCAAAGCTGCCACTCATCGGCAACATCCATCAAGTCGGCAAAGTCCCCCACAGCTCTCTCCGAGACCTCTCGAGGAACTACGGCCCTCTCTTGCTCCTACAGTTGGGGTATAACCCAACAGTACTGGTCTCATCATCGAACTTGGTTAAACAAATTGTCAAAAACCATAACATTATCTTCTCCAACAGACCAAAGACCACAGCTTTAGATTTCTTGTACTATGGTGGAAGGGACATGGTTTTTTAACCCTACGGTGAGTACTGGAAACAAGTGAAGAAGATCAGCGTTCTTGAGCTTTTCAGCCACAAAAGAGTCCACTCGTTTCAGTTCGTAAGAGAAGAAGAAGTTGAAGTCCTCGTTAACGAAATCCGGTGAGCTTGTCTTGAAGGTGAATCTGTTAATCTGTCGGAGATGCTCATGCTGGTTTCGAGTAACATAGCTTAATTCTGGATGTATTCTGAGTCACAAAAGTGAGGAGGAAGATGGGTGCAGCAAGTTCGGGCAGTTGAGTAAAAGGCTGTTGAGTCTCACCACTGCTTTCTGTGTTGGCGATCTGTTTCCTTACTTGGGATGGCTCGATGTTCTAACTGGATATATCCCGAGTATGAAAGCTTTATCTGCGGAATTTGATGCATTCCTTGATCAGGTAATTCAGGAGCATAGAGGTCTTGGGGGTAATCGCCAGGTTTCAAATAAAAAGGACTTTGTTTCCATCATTATGCAGCTCCAAAAGAATCGCATGTATGACATGGACCAGGGTTTTAAATAGTGGGACGTAAACACTATAGTGATCGCTATTTCACGGTCGCGCTACCGTCTAAAACCATTATTAACGATTTTAGCAGTGCGTACCGGATTCACGTTGATAACGGTCCATCGCGCCCATAATTTAATAGGTAACGGTGAAAAATACCGATCACGGAACGCTATAAGTATTATTCTACCGTTACTGTAAAAAAAAACAAAAAAAAACTTAAGAAAGATTATTTTTTTATGTTCATCGTTGTCAAACCTCATTTTTTTCTCTTTCTTTTTAAATCTCCGTTTTTTATATATACATGCTGAGATTTAAAAGAAAAAGTAAATGAAAAAAGTAAAAAGGAAGAACAGGACTTTACCTGTTTTGTAGGTCTCATTGTAGTGGAAATTGTTGGAATCCTAAATTTTATGTGCTTAAGTCTCTCTTCTAGGCTAGAACAAGTTATGGTTTTGGAGGTTTTTGGCTGTTGATTATCTCAAAACCTTAAGAAATAAGGGAGACAACATAGAACTCCATCGAGAAAAGAATTAGAGAGATTCTAGATTTTTCTTCTAAGTTATTATAGTATATGTTGATTTTTCAATTAAAAGAAATTAGACTACATGGGCCGTTCCACACACACTCAGGCCGTTTCCCATTTTTTATTTTTTTAAAGTAAGTTTTAAAATATATTTTTAAGGGATATATTAATTTGCTACCCTCCCATTTTTTAGAATTTATAATTTAATCCTTAGTTTAGAATGTAATTTAATTTAGTCCTAATTTTAGTAATTTAAATAATCATGTATTCACAATGTTATCATTAATTAATGATCTTATCATATTACCGTATTTTTAAAGTTTTCTATTTGGTTAAACTATATATTATATATGTGTGTGTGTGATTTTTGCTTAGAAAACATTCTAAAAATCATTAAAAAAAATTATTCCTTATGACTATAATTATAATTATTATGTTTTATGATAAGTTGTGCGAAATTTAAAATAATTCACGATCGCGGCACCCACAGTGACCGCGATGACATCAATTATATCCGCAACCGCGATAAACTCGACGCGCCGAAAATACGATCGCGAACGCTATTTAAATCTCTGACATGGACCTCACCCAAGACAACATCAAAGGAGTCTTACTGGTTATTCAACACTTCTTCCCTTATTCCTTTTGGCATATATCTCTTTTTTTTGTAGCACTTTAGTCTCAATATTTCATTCTAAAGTAAAATAATTCATGATTGGATGAAAAAAATGATGGCGTGATATATGTCATGTGTACGTAAGTGATTATGTGACACGTGACACATATACGTACTTGATGACATAACATAGGTCATGTGTACATAAGTGATGACATGTCACGTGTTCATAATAATAACGTGAAACATGTCACGTGTACATAGATGATGGTGTGGCTCATGGTATTTATAAATAAGTGATGATGTAGCATGACACATAAGATTTAGGGTAAGCTACACATTTAGTACTTAAACTATCAGTTTAGTCTGTTTTAGTACATAAACTTTTATTCTTTTAAAAATCATACCTAATGTTTAATTTTTTTATTTCATTTTAGTATCTCCACCGTTAAAAACTTAACGTGTTTAGTACCTAAACTATCAATTTTGGTCTGTTTTAGTACCTAAACTTTTGTTCTTTTAAAACTTAACGTTGAATTTTGAACAGGGGTACTAAAATGAAACAAAAACTAAACTTTAGGTATTGTTTTGAAAAAATTGAAAGTTTAAATACTAAAACGGACAAAAACTAATAGTTTATGTATTAAACGCATAATTTACCCTAAGATTTATTACATCAGGAATAAACATCGATCATTAGTTAACTAATAGTTTTCATTCAACCAAAGAGATTTAGTCTTAAAATGGAACAATGAGGTTAAAGTGCTTAAAAAAATTAGAATTGAAGTGATTTTTTTTTTTTTTGCTCAACAATGTATGATTTTTATTGAAAGAAAATGGATATATAAGATCACTTTATGCCTCATTAAAAAAATCCTCTAAATAAAAAGAGGAAAATGACACATAAAGATGATCAAGGTTATAGAGGAGTCGCCTATATAGACATAATCTCAAAGCATCTGACAATACAAAACACGTTACAAAATTCTTAAGAGAAAATAACCTCAGTGACCAAAAATGCCTTATAATATACGATTTTAATCAATTTTTTTTGGATTTGCCAAAATGACCAACTAAATCGCAATGCGATCGATAATTCGCAACGCGATCTCCGGTATCGCAAATCAGTTTCCAAATTCGCAACGCGAACTTTGACTATCGCAACGCAAACTTGAACTATCGCAACGAATTTAGAATAAATCGCAACGCGAACTTAACATACTATATTACTTGCGGACACCTTTAGTATGAAAAATCCTATTCTCAAAACTTCACCTTTACTACTGCCAAGCTTTGAAAAGGGATTGATGTAACAAGTCATCTTTTACAAAATGATATGTTATTCCGTTGTTTTGTCTGCTAACATTATTAAACGTTAGGTTAACTTCAGTGTTATACTTTTCATTTTTTACTCCTTAATCTAAAGTGTTTAATTTTGATAACATCAGGATATGTTCATAGGAGGAACTGATACCACTAAAGCAACAATAGAATGGGGAACGGCTGAGCTACTAAAGCATCCAAATGTGCTGAAAAAAGTCCAACAAGAGGTAAGAAATGTTGTGGGAAACAAGTCCAAGGTAGAAATGGACGACATCAACAAAATGGAATACTTAAAGTGTGTAATGAAAGACCTCAGACCTTCCGAACAAGGAGATCTACACCAAATTCAGGCTCAATAATTAAATTCATAACCGGAGAATGTCTATACTTGGGTGATAGCGAGAAGGTGAAGTTCGACGCTAAAAGACTAATTATTATCTTGATTTCCGCCATGGCAAAATGCTGCCCCAAACATGAACGAGGCCCGGTGCCAAAGGGTATGTACACATGCGGAACCTTACATGCCCCATTGATTCCATTCCCAAACCTTTCGGGGTTGAATTTAAGGACGTCAGTTCCCCAAATGTTGGGGTCTTCGTAAAGTGTCATCATCATCACCCAAATACTAACCCCTTTAGGCACATCGACCCCTCCGAATCTTGTTTCTCGAACCGCCTCTCGAGTAAGCATGCAGCCGAGAGGGTAGAGCCGCAACGACTCGTAGATCACCATCGTTAGCTGCCATGATTTTCCGGTGAGTATGAAAGCGTCGAACGAATACGAAAATGTATGTTCAGATGGTTTGAGACTTACCGTTTTCATCTTGTTAAGCATGGCGGAGCTCGGCAATTGGCCATTGAAAATTTCGAGAACCTCTGCCCGAATTTTGTCTTGCCACTCCGGATAGAGAGCTAATAACATCAAGGTCCAGATTGCCGGCACCGCGCCATTTTCGTAGGCTGGAAAGCATATGTTCTTGCAGTTATCGACGACGAAGTTGTCTGTTTCAGCTTGGCCTAAATAACTGTTCTTTGCTACCTCAATGAGCATTTGTAATATGTTCTTCTCTGAATCCGTTTCTTCATTTCTTTTCACTTCTTTCAAGATTAATGTGTGAATTTCTTTCTCTAATCTCCACATTTCTCTATTGCTTTTTGGTTGGTAGAGATCTATTACATGTAGGGATGGGCGTAGGATTCTATGTTACGAACTTAAATTTCAAGAGAAGTAAAAACAAATTTTCAATAAAAAATATATAGAAAAAATCTAAAATATATAGTAATTTTAAAACTTCAAGGGGCGATTGCCCTCAATCCATCTCTGATTATATGGTTGGTTGTCCCTTGTTCCCATATGTAATGGGGTAAGGGGAGGTAAGATAGTAGGCTGCCCCAACACTAGGTTGAGAGCTGCTTCCGTAGGAGACCTCCGAATTATGAAATATCCTCCATGAGACTCGATCTCACGACCTCAAGGTTAAGAACCTTATGCCAAAAATTTCAAATTTTTATATATTTTAGATATCTTTAATATTTTCTATTGAAAATTTCAATTTTTTTTTATCACTTTCAAAATTAGATAAATTATATCCTAACTCCTCATTTCAAGAAAAATAAAGGTAACTTAAAAATAGACCATGATTGCACGAACCGAGCGACTTTAGTGGTAAATGAATTGTTGTTATTCTTAGAGGTTCTAAGTTTAAGTATCACGAATTCTAGAGGTGTGAACGTTTAATGTCAAATGATTGAAAGTTATATTTAAACAAATATTGTCTTATATTTACTCCAAATTAATAAAAAAAATAAACCATGATACAATCCTTTGTTTAAAAAAAGTAGATATTTACATGTATTTTTTAAACATGCCAAATCCAAGTTGTTCAATCAATATATATGTATATATTTAAAATTTGGACTACGTATTTTAAATCTCTCAAGACAAAAGAAATCGCTTGATACAATTTTGATATTTTAGGACTCGATTGAAATGCATTTAAATTGGGAGACCAATTTTGAATCAAGATCATAATTTCAGGATATTTAATGCATTAGCTCTATGCCAGATAGTATGAGTCAATGGCTATAAAAAAGCGTAAACTACACCATTCCTCAGTGTTCTTTCAGTTTTTCCAATTTACTCACTTAACTTTTGAATTGTTCCTATTTTGGTCACTCTAAATTATTTTATTATTATTTTGGTATGACATGGCATTTTTTATTATTTAATATAAAAATAATTTTAAATAAATAATAAATTAATAATAATAAATGTCACATCATGTCAAAATAATAATAAAATAATTCAGAGTGACCAAAACATGAGCAATTTAAAAGTTCAATAATTAAATTAGAAAAATTGAAAGTATAGTGAGTAAAATGAGAGAGAAAGTAAAGTTCTAAAGAATGATATATTTTACCCTAAGAAAATAAAGAAAAGGGGTCTCACCTTAACCCAGGAATCCCTTGCAAGGCTACTTTCTTACATGCAATTTCTTGAAGTGCTCTGAGCTTTGAGATTATCTCTTTACAATTGCTTCCAAAACAGATTCTTGATATCACTTCTCCAGAAAAGTTCCTCAAATACTCATCGATCTTTATGTCCGCCACTCCTCCGGCGGATTCAATCTCACGGTTCCACTCGTTTATCACCGGAACCGCTGACTCGACCATTAATGTCACCATACCCTACACATGATGGGACCATTAATTGATGCCACAGCAAATACAGGGCTGTCAATAGGTTAAACCATACCTTGACCTTGTCCAAGTAGAATTCAGGTGCCATTACTTTCCTTTGATGTGCCCATACTGCACCATATGCATGCAGGATCCCCTCTCCATACAGTGGATGAAGCCCTTGTTTCTGATAAAAAGGCCTTCCCATGTCAAAAGATGTGTCTGCGGACATCTCCTTCACGATGTCCGGGTGGCTCATGTGCAGAACCTGTATGTTCCCCATCGAGAACAAGAATGTCGGACCTGAAATTTCACCGTAAACGTCTCAGAACCCAAAAATCCGACGAGTACTAGTGGTCGAAATTTGAACTTGAACGTACCATACTGCCGTCTCCACTTGTCAAGAAACGGTAGAACATCGGAACAACAACTGTGGGTTATCGCTTGTTTTCCGTCTAGTGTGGTGCTCGAATCCTTGGACTCTGTCTTCTTCCCCATCTGCAGCAGATTACCGACCAAGATCGACGGCGGGGGACCTCGAATCCCCTGCTTTTGCAGCTTCGAACGTTGTCTCCCGGGGGTCAACACGAGTGAATTATGCAGGCGTACGATCACACCGATCGATCCTATGAACAAGAGAGTGGACACGACCCTCAGAAGCATAAACGCCAATCTCATGGCGTTCGACTCTGATTTCTCTGATCTCCAATGATGGATTCATCATATTTTATGGTGGACAAGAATGGTTAGCAGGCAGAAATATTTTATATTTTCTTATGTGTTTCATTAAGGCGGATGACGCATTAGCTAATACATATATTATATCTAATATGCAAATGGTCATATGAATTAGTTAAAGAAGCAACAAATATGATAATTATGAGGGTTTTCTATCTTTCCAAACAGCTCAGCCATCGATTTAGAACAAGATAGCTATGAAAGTCAAAGCTTTCTTTCATGGTAAGACTGGTTTCTCCATGTGAAAAGCTTAGCCTGGCTCCGCCTATTTCTTCTCCAGATTTTCCGGGAAAATTTCAATTCATGAAACCATCATGTGCTTCTAATATGGTTTCCCGGACTTTACTCACCATAATAGTAATCTTATGATAAGAAAATAATTGGACTTAAAACTAAGTAACAAGAGAAATTTACAAAATCAAATGAATTATTTTTTATACTATTTTCCTGCATATTTTACAGATTTATTAATATTAATAGATAATATTTTAAGTTTAAATATTAATATATGTATAATTATATTTTAATATAAATTTAATTATTTTTATTATTTTTATTTTCATAAGCGTATTTTGTATGAAAAATTATAAAAAGTAATTAATAATAAAAAATTATAATTAATATATTTTAATAACATAAATTAAATCAATTTCAAACATAGTTTAATCTAAATATTTTTTTTTAAATTCAACAAAAACTTCTTGCTTAGCCTAGTGACTAGGCATTGCACTCTTTTCCTATAGATCACAGATTCGATCCTACTAGAAACCATAATTTATATATTAATTTATTAAAAATAAAATTTGGAGGTTTCACATCAACTATGAATAACTAACTGATTATAGAATGTTCAAGCAATTGTGTCCAGAGTCGGTCCTGATATTTTAAGGGTCCTAGGTCATGAGGAGATGACAAGCAGATAAATAGGGGTCCACACTTTATTTTCCTTTCTATCATTATAATGGGGCTCATTGGATCACCATATTTTCAAATTTTTTTAATAAAAAATGATGTTTAAAAATATTTTTAAATTATTGGGGCCCACTAAATTATCATATTTTCAAGTGTTTGAAATAAAAAAACACGTTTAAAAATATTTTTAAATTATTAAACTTAACAATATTTTTAAATATGAGCTCCTTCAAGCTTGGGGCCCTAGGCGGTCGCACCCCTGGCCTATGCTCAAGGCCGGCCCTGATTGTATCTATCATTATCAACGACTAAGAAAGATTGTAATCACCTTGTACGATTAAAAAAAACTTATTCATAAACAAAGATGATTACAATTAAAATATAATATTATTATATTTGATTTCATGATTATTTTGTAATATCTAATTTAAATATGTAGTTGTGACAAAATATTTATCATTGTTATTAAATTTTTTGTGTCAGAAAGTGTCCTCGTAAAAATATAAATAATTGTGATGAAAATCTTGAAAGTTGTCACTAATACAATATTGATGAGATTATTGATGATGACTCTAAAATAATCAATATAAATTTTAATGTCTAAATTTGATATTTTTATTAATCATTTTTAATATCACCAATCATTCTTAATATCACTAAAAAAATACATTCTATTGTAATGTTAATTGATCTATATAAATAATGAAACACTCTTCAAAACTACAAAATTGTTCCAACCTTTAATGGTATAGGTAAAAAGACATTAAAGGCCTCCAACTTTTAAAATAAAACCAATATGGCCCATATCGTTCTTTTTTTTTGATCAATACGGCCCTCCAACTCGAAAAAAGATGAACTGCATAATCTTTTTGCGAGCTGATATCCATGGGATAGCGCTATAAAAATGGTAAACAAAACGTTGTCGTTTTTTCCTATGTACAAAAAAAACATATCATAAGACATATATCAACAAAAAGTCTAAAGTTAAAACATTATTTCTTCACAAATTATGATAATACAAAATGATGTAGGGAACTCATAGTTAACAAATCATAGGGAAATTCTTAAAAGAATTAAGGATGGTTAAAAAATAGTCACTTCAAAACATGAGAAACCATCTTCTACATAAACATTAAAATCTGATAAATATATCAAAGTAATAAGAAAAAGTGTTAACTTTCCAATATTACAAAGACAGTTTTATTAGGGGTGTGAAAATCCGGGTCCCTGATTATCGGGTATCTGGATTTTCGGGTACCCGAAACATCCGGGTCATTGATTTCTCGGCCCGTGTCCCGGCCCGGATTTTGCGGGTACCCGGTTTTTTTTCATTTTCAAATTATTAATTTTAAAAAAATATACATAAATTTAAATGTTCGAAACTTCAAATTACATACTCCAACATCCGAAAATAAAATTTAAAAGTTTGAAATACAAAATCTAATAATACATAATATAAATAATTCATTATATTATATATATATATATATATATATATATATATATATATATATATATATAACCGGGTACACGGGTAACCGGGTACCCGGAAAAACACAATTTTGTGACCCGGGCCCGACCCGGGAAATGTACCCGGCTGGATAATTTTTTTAGAAAATTACACGATTTTTTAATGTTCGGGTCGACGGTTCGACGGGTCGGATCAACCGAGTCGGGTATTTTTGTACACCCCTAAATTTTACCATTCGATTTCTTCATGTATTTTCAAAAGCTCATTCACAACCAACATAATTAAACATTTGGAAGGTAAAACATTATAAACCATTTGTAGATACCAACAAAGAAAGGCTTAAAGTTACTTTTATATTTGTAGTAGATTTAATTTATCATTTTTGTCCCTATAATTTTTTTTTGTATCCATTTAGCCTTCAAAATTGTTTAGATACATTATCTTAGTCCTCGAAGTTCGTTTTGACTAACATAACCATTAGTCTTCTGCGTTTATCGACGCTAACATTTTTTCACGTCAGCCGATATTATTGACATGACTTGATGATAAAGTGACATTTATTAAAAAAAATAATAAAATATTTACTAAATACAATAGTTAAAAAATCTCCAAAAATTGATCTAGTCTCTTAATCTTACTGAAATATATAATAAAATTTTAAGAAATTTTCTAATTGTTATGTTCAGTAAATATGTAAACTCAATTCTTTAATCCATAGAGTAAAAGACTCATTATTAACTTACAAGTAAGAAACAAATTCTTTTAAACTTTTATTTTGTTATTTGACGATAAAATAAATAGTAGGATCCACAGATACACCATATCTAATGAATTATTTATTAATTATTACGCTTTTTTCTTAAAAGATTAAATGATAAATATGACAAATAAAGTGTTATTAATTGTTTTAGTTAAGAACCACTTAAGTAAATTTTAATAAATTATAGTTGTAAATAAAACAAAAAATTAGTCAAGCCTCACTACATTGTTAGAAAGTTTTTAAGGATATTTTGGTGAGTTTATCTTTTTATCTTGATTTTTATTTTCAATATAAAATTAATTAATTTATTTATATTAAAAAAATAGGAATATTTGTGTTGATAAGTAATTGAAAACATTTAAAAAATTTAAATTAATATATCATCTAACTTATATTTTATATATTATAAATTAATTAGAATAAAATACTATTAAAAAGTTATTTAAGAATTTAATAATATAATGCAAAATATTATAAGATATATATTTTTATTTTATATTTTAATATCAATTTATTATTTATATATATTCTTTAACCTAGAAATGGTCATCGACACGTTGAATCTCACCCATTTCATCCCATTCATATATCCCCTCTCATCATTTAATTCCTCATTTGTTAAATCCGAGACGGTGTTATAAGATTGTTATTATTGGTTTGATTTTCTGGGTGAACTATCTAAATGGTCATTGAAAGTTGAATAAATTTCCTTTTTCTTACTGAAATCACAAAAATAATAATTTAGTCACTGGAATTATTAATTTATAACAAATCGTTAAAAGTCTTTATTAGGATAGGATGAGTCTACGGCGCACCTCGCACACCAGAATGCACCACTAAAACGACATATTGAAACACACCACAAGCAAATTTATCCTTATTATGTAAATATTAAAAAGTATAAAGATTTATTTAATATTAATTATTTATTAAATTTTAGTTTATTTTTAATAAATTTATAATGAAATTGTAATTTTTCTTAAAAATAATAATTAATTTAAATAATTTAATTTGTTTAGAATTATAATTTTTAAGTAATCAACATCAATCGCCATCTGTGATCACCTTAACCCGTCAAAAAATCATCTACTACAATATCCAGTGTTATTATTTATCGTCACCCACTTTACCGTATCTTAATTCGTTGTCGTCCAACAGTTGGCCGTCTCGAAGGCCTAACCAAGAAAAATCAAATCAAACCCGGAATCCTCCTCGACGAGATTTATTCTAGAAACAGTTAAAACTAAAGCAACGTAAAAAAGAGAATCGGATCCCAGTATAGAGAGACATAAATCACGGAACTGAAGGAGACAGAGTTCACCAAAACAAGAAATGACTCGGTGAGATGACTCAACGGGAATAATAAGTTAAACAAGCGTCATTTTCTCCAACCGTATCAGATCCATCACTGGCAAGTTATTTAAGAAGTTCTCTACTCTTTTCATTTTCACTCTCTTTTTTTCTTTCCCTCTCTTTCTCAATAATCAAACAGAAAAAAATAAAGTTTGGATCTAAGTTTGTGGATCTAAGTTCCCCATAAAAGTATGTTAATAGGATTTTCTTTGCCCTTTTGATATTCTTCATCATAGTTTGCTACGTTTATCAAATTACTAGAGCTTTTATGAATCATGTAGACTGAAATTGGAATCCAAAACAGAATGAATATAAACAATATCAATACACTAATCAAATAAAATATTTGTGTTAGAGTTGTAATCCAATTTTTTCTTAGATAAGATAATGAAGTTACAATCAAGACAAGGATAATGAACCTTTAGTTATTGAAGACGCACCATC